CGGGCTCGGTGGCTCAGCCTGTAATCCCGCGCCTTTGGGAGGCTGAGGTGAGTGGATTGCCTGAGACCGCGGGTTTGAGACCCACTTGGGCAACTTGGTGAGACCTCATCTCTACAATAAATCAAAAATTAGCCAGGCATGCACTACCACACCTGGCTGATTTTTTTTTATCAAAATCTGCTGAGAACTTGATATCTCGGTTGAGAGTTCCTTTTTACTCTTCCCCAGGGGGCAGCGTTAGACTAGCCCATTGCCCCATTCCTCCTCATCCCATTCCTGGGTGATGTCAGAAAGCCCTTTGCACCTAGTAAGTGATGATGACTCTGAACTCCTATTTCTTGCCTTTCTCCTCATATCCGGGTTCATATCTCTCACACTTTAGTTTCACCCTACCTAAAACCAAGTCTTCTGCCTCTCCAAATCTGCTCTTCCTCCTGCATTTCCTATTTCAGCAAATGACAGCTCTCTACCCAGTCCCTCAAACCATAGTCCTAGGAACCATTTTCAGTTCCTTTTCCCTTAACCCTGCATAAGAATTTGGTCACCAAGTCTTTGGTTCTCTGGAGTTTTTACAAATCCGCTAAGTGCTTTCACATCTCTGTGCCTTATGGGCTATTCCCCTACCCTTATTTCTCTTATCTGTTTGGAAGTCCTTGTCAACTTCCAGGTCTCAGCACAAATACTGACTTTCCTAATTCCAAGCTCCTGACCCCTGATCTAAAATAAGCACTCGTCTTTGTGTTTTTTATGCCACCTTAGACATGCCTCTATTCTAGAATCCATTACATTGTACTGTAATATTTCTGTGTTTATCTCCCCACTAGACTGTGAGCTCTTTGAGGGCAAGGCTTAAGTTTTATTCATCTCTGGATCTTTAGGACTCGGAACAGTGCCCAGACACAGGAGGTGCTCAATAAATGTTGGTTGAATGTATGAATGACTCTTTGCTTGTGTGGCTCTTTCATTCTTACATGTTGTGATTCAGTGTGTCTTCTGTCTTTGTGGAAAAAAGAGGTCTTCAGTCGTTTTATGAGTCATGAATGAATGGGTGAAGAAAACTAACATTGAGTGCTTATCATGAGCCAGGCCTCATGCTGAGCATTTCTACCATGCATGTGTCCTCATTTATCTTCTTACTTCTCAGTTACTGGTCACCCACCTCCCAAACTTGACACTGAGCAGCAAGAACCTAGAGTACCACTTTAAAGACCTGCCTAGTGTCAATCTTACACCTTTCAGGCCAATGCAGAAGGTAGCATGCAGTGGTTTCTGGGTTCTGTAGGCCTTAGACCTTGATGAAGAAAAGTGTGGGCCACGCCTGCTGTTTCCATTTCTGTGCCTTTTCAGGCCATAGTATGCGTATCAGAGTTAAAAAGGTGGGGGAAGCAGAGCAGGTTGAGCACACTGGGCCTCCTTATCCTCGGTGACCACAAAACAAATGGTCCCTAGGCACTAGTACCACAGACAGGACAGTGTGCCAGGGCAGAATCAACTGGACTTGTTGGCACTATCTCCCTCTCCTTCCTCCTTCTATCTATCCTGAACAGGTTCCCGATGCTATAAAATCTCAGTACCAGTTTCCACCCCCTCTCATTGCACCCGCGGCCATTCGGGATGGGGAGCTGATCTGCAATGGGATCCCTGAGGAATCACAGACGCACCTTTTGAACTCTGAGCACTTAGCCACCCAGGCAGAGCAGCAAGAGGTGAGTGAAGGCAGGGCTGGGATTCCAAATCCAATCTTCCTTCCATCTCATCACAGCTGTTATTGCAAGTAGCCTCAGTGTCATGCCCGTCCCTGTCCCTACCCACCCTCACCCTAACTTTCCAAGAGTTGAGTATTCCAGAGAGTACCTCTGGCTCAAGTCCCAAAGGCAAGTAAGAGAACTACAGAGTCAACCAGTCTGTTTCTCTTCATCGGTCCCCTAGTGCACTGTGAGATGGGTGCATCTATACTGTAGTAAAAGATGAGTAAACCCATAGAGAGGTGATAGTGCTGGACATACCACAGGAGCTCTGGTACTTGCTGAATATTGGTCACAAGGTGAGCCTTAGGGGTGGAGCCAAATACAAATCTCAAGCTCTGCTGACCAGGGTGTTGCCTGCTGAGTGTACCCACAAGCCTTGCTGGGAACGGAAATGGAGTCCTATCAGAAGTCGAGCACACCCTTTCTGGGCATTTGCAGTGGGACCTCGGAAACTGCTTGTCAACTCTGCTGTAGCCCTGGCCGCTGTGGCAGGAAGGACCAGCGCCTCCCAGGCCTCTCACCCTCCTCTCCTCTCCTCTCCTTCCATTGCAGTGGCTCTGTAGTGTTGTTGCGCTCCAGTGCAGCATATTGAAACATTTATCTGCTAAGCAGATGCCTTCGCATTGGGACTCTGAACAGACAGAGAAGGCTGATATTAAGCCTGTTATTGTGACTGACAGCTCAATCACCACTTCCCTGCAAACAGCTGACAAGGCACCTACACCTTCCCATTACCCCTTGTCCTGCCCCTCAGGGATTAGCGCCCAGAATTCCCTGAGCTGCTCTCCACCCCACCAGCCCCCAGCCCTAGAGGACATCGGCTGCAGTTCTTGTGCGGAAAAATCCAAGAAAGCCCCTTGTGGGACTGCCAACGGGCCAGTGAACACAGAGGTGAAAGCCAATGGTCCACACCTCTACAGCAGCCCCACTGATTCCACGGACCCCCGGCGACTTCCAGGCGCCAACACCCCCCTACCAGGCCTCTCACACCGGCAAGGCTGGCCCCGGCCCCTCACGCCACCAGCGGCTGGGGGCCTTCAAAACCACACCGTCGGCATCATTGTGAAGACAGAGAATGCCACTGGCCCCAGCTCTTGCCCCCAGAGGAGTTTGGTTCCTGTCCCAAGCCTGCCCCCTTCCATTCCCAGCTCTTGTGCCAGCATCGAGAACACCAGCACTTTGCAAAGAAAGACTGTCCAATCACAGATAGGACCTCCGTTGACAGATTCAAGGCCACTGGGCTCACCCCCAAATGCCACCCGGGTGCTCACTCCCCCCCAAGCAGCAGGAGAAGGTATCTTGGCCTCAGGAGCCAACCAACGATTCTGCTCACCAGCGCCATCATCAGGTGAGTGCTGCTCAGCCTTGGGGTGATTTGAAATAATTTTATATTCTTCCTGGCAGATAAGACTTATGATTCCAACACTTCAGTACTTAACAGGGTTTTGATCTCTGTATTGTTTGTCCTCCCCCCATTTCTGTAATAGAAGAAGAAGCACGTGTTAACTTGTACCCATTTTTAGATGGGATTGATTGGGCTCTGAAAGCTGAAGTGATTTCCTTAAGCTGACCAACCAAGTCAGTGACAAGATCAGAACTATAGCCTGGGTCTCCTGACTCCTTCCCATGCCTTCCAGGGCTAGCCTCCTGCTTGATTTGTTCCATCAACTTAGAAGAAGACAGCATGCTCTCTGGAAACACTGTAGTCAGCTTGAGATTCTGGGCAATGGCCTCAGTGTTTCAGGGTCCACACAAGAGATAGGATTTATGCCTGATGCAGATTCTCAAAGCCAGCTCATCTGAGGAACCTACATGTCAGGGAAACGGGCAGAAAGCAGCACTGCTGCAAAATAACTGCTGAATGGGATGCCCACAGAGGTTACTCTTGGCCCAGAAGCTTGCCCTCGAGCCACATGCCAAAGGGCAGTCCCTTTAGTCTATGCTTGGCCTTGTGTGGACCTGTTCTCTCAGCTGTCCCTATCAGCACTCAGGACCTCTAGGTTGCTGACCTCAGCATCTGAACCAGGTTTCATATGCTGCTGGAAACCCCTGTGGTCTCTCCTGTCTGAACTGAAGCCAGCCTCCTCTAGTCAGCTGGGAGTCTTGGTAACCAGGCGACGGATTTCTCTGCATGGGGGCTCCTGGTCCCAGGATGGCCCCATTCTCAGGCTGTTCCTGTCTCTGTTTATCTCTTAATACTAGCATGGTTAGATTTTGTACGTTGAGTCATACTTCAGTAGACAGGAATTGCAGGGGCAGGCACCACTTATCCACTTATTTAAGAGTAGAAGCAGCAGGGAGATCGTCTTGGCCCAGAGAAGGAAATTATCCTACCACTTTCCCCAGAGCAGTGAATTTCAATGGTTCTCAGTGCTCTGGAGACTCCTGCGTGCCCGGGTGCTTTGTTGTTCCATTTGCCCTTCCTCACCACACGTTTTTAGCTCTAGGAGTTCCAGAGCCTATGGGTTGAGAATCAAGAAGGGAACATCACCTTGGGTCCGAAATCCAGACCTGTCTCAGCAATGGGGGATTGGACCGGTGGGTTTCCCTCAGGCGACGTAAGTAACAGTCTTCCTGCTCCGTCCCCAGATGGCAAGGTCAGCCCCGGCACGTTATCCATAGGAAGCGCTTTAACCGTACCCTCTTTCCCAGCCAACTCTACTGCCATGGTGGACCTCACCAACTCACTTCGAGCATTTATGGATGTCAATGGAGGTGAGTGAGTAAGCTGCTGCTGTTCCACCAGTTGTTATGGTGAAGGTGTTGTTCCTATACAGCTTTCATTCATTTCAAGACGGGAGAGAAGGGACACCTGATCTTAGAGGGGTAGGGAGATGGGGATGAGGAGTGTCCCTTTAGGTAGAAGAGTGGGGTAAGAAAAAATCTCATTCGGGCTCGGTGGCTCAGCCTGTAATTCCACGAGGCTGAGGTGAGTTATCTGCCTGAGCCCTCGGGTTCGAGACCCGCCTGGGCAACTTGGCGAGACCTCATCTCTACAATAAATAAAAAAATCAGCCAGGCGTGGTCACGCGCACGTGTAGTTCCAACTACTTGGAAGGCTGAGGCGGAAGGATCGCCAGAGCCCAGCAGGTCGAGGCTGCTAATCGAGAATAAAGCCAGGAGCCCCGTTCCCAAAAAGGGGACTTCATCTGTGGGAAATCCCCAAAGTCAAGGAGAATAGGAATAGATCTTGATTTTTGTGAACAGAGGGTAGGTAGAAAATCCAAGTCTCAATATCAAACATGTAGGCTCTCCCCCACAGATAGGCAACTAGTTATTTTTCTCTGCCTTTGTATGATGACATTGCCTAAAATCAAGCTACCCAATTATAGGAAGCATCTACTTGGGCCACATTGGGGCTCATCTCACTGCAAATAGCAAGTGAGATCCCCAGCTCCAGATCCTTGTACCACTCTGTACTTAATATGTTATTTGAGTCAGGTACAGTGGCTCTACGCCTGTAATCCCAGCACTTTGGGAGGCGGAGGCAAGAGGATTGCCTGAATCCAGGGGTTTGCAACTTGGTGAGACCTCGTCTCTACAATAAATCAAAAAATTAGCCAGGCATGGTGGCACATGCCTGTAGTTCAAGCTACTTGGAAGGCTGGGGTAGAAGGATCACCTGAACCCAGCAGGTTAAGGCTTCATTGGCCACGAGTGTGCTTCTGCACTCCAGCCTGAGCAACAGAGTGAGACTCCAACTCAAAAACAAAACAAAATATGCTATTTGAACAAAAATCACTTGACTGGACTTTAGAAATGTTGAGCTATTTGCTCTGTGACCCTTATCTGCTTTCACATTCCATTTCCATCTCAGCTGCTTTTTAATCTTTCTCTTTGGTTAATAGAAATCGAGATAAATATGCTGGACGAGAAGCTGATCAAGTTTCTGGCCTTGCAGAGAATACATCAGCTTTTCCCTTCACGGGTCCAACCTTCACCGGGCAGTGTCGGGACACATCCACTGGCTTCCGGAGGGCACCACACAGAAGGTGCGCATGCACACACCTGTCACCACAATATCTGCTCTCTCCTGTGTGTGTGTGAAGGGCTACCTTACCTCCATGGAGTATATGAGAGCTTTCAATATCTCAAACCTGCTTGTATGCCTTTAGTGGGCCTAATAAAGCACCATGGCAAGCCAAGCACATTGGCTCACACCTGTAATCCCAGCATTTTGGGAGGCGGAGGCAAGAAGATTGCCTAAACCCAGGGATTTGAGACCAACCTGGGCAACCTGACGAGACCTCATTTCTACAATAAATAAAAAAATGAACCAGGTGTGGTGGCACATGCTTGTGGTTCCAGCTACAAGGAAGGCTGAGACAGAAAAATTGCCTGAGCCCAGCAGGTCAAGGCTGCAATGACTGTGAGTGTGCCATTGCACTCCAACCTGGGCAATAGAGTGAGAAAAAAAAAAAAGCACTATGTTTTTTCTTCTCAAAAGAGAGGAGTGAGACGGCAACCACAGCTTTCTGATCAGACTTGGGGGAGCTTGCTGTAACTTTCTTTCATACAGGTCCACTTTGAGACACAGCAAAGCAACTGCCAGTACCTTTGTGTATATGTGTTGTACTTTATGCTCACTTGCTTTCAAATATTTGTATTAGAAGGGTTTCAGCTGGGTGTGGTGGTTCACACGTGTAATCCCAACACAATCCCACTCAAGCAAGGCAGGAGGATCACTTGAGGCCAAGAGTTCAAGACTAACTTGGGCAACATAGCGAGACCCAGCCTTTTATCAAAAAAAATTAAAAATTAGCCATGTGTGGTGATATGTGCCTATAGTCCTAGCTACTTGGGAGGCTCACTTGAGCCCAGGAGTTCAGGGCCACAGTGAGTTGTGATCTCACCTTTGCACCCCAGCCTGAGCAACAGAGCAAGACTCTGTCTCATTAAAAAAAAAAAAAAAATTTAGGCCAGGTGCGGTGGCTCACGCCTATAATCCCAGCACTTTGGGAGGCCAAGGTGAGAGGATTGCCTGAGCCCGCAGGTTCAAGACCAGCCTGGGCAACATGATGAGACCTCATCTCTACAATAAATAAAAAAATTAGTAGTTCCAGCTACTTGGAAGGCTAAAGTGGAAGGATCGCCTGAGCCCAGCACGTCAGGGCTGTGGTGGCCAGGAGCATGCCACTGTACTCCAGCCTGGGTGACAAGAGATTTAGCTGGGTGCAGTGACTCACACCTAATCCCGGACTTTGGGAGGTCAAGGTGAGAGGATTGCCCGAGCCCATGGGTTCAAAAACAGCCAGGACAACTTGACAAGACCCTCATCTACAATAAATAAAAAAAATTAGCCAGGCATGGTGGCGCATGCCTGTAGTTCCAGCTGCTTGGAAGGCTGAGGCGGAAGGATCACCTGAGCCCAACAGGTTGAGGCTGCTGTGGCCATGAGTATGCCACTGCACTCTAGCCAGGGTGACAGAATGAGACTCTGACTCAGAAAAGGGGGAGGACAGTAGGGGGTTTCCCAAAAGGGAACTTTTTGAAGTTGAAGTTGAGAAATAGAATGATAGTGGACCCACCTCCTGGAAATTTTCCCCAAGTCATTAACTGAAGCCAGTAGCTTCAAGTAGTATCATCTCTGGATTCTATGGCCATCGTTAAAGATGCTTCTTCTTACCCCATGTTGAAAATGCTGTGACTGTGGAGAGAAAGCCTCACCCTGAAGCAGCTCAGTATTGGATGTGAGTTTGGAAAGATGAATCATCCAGTGGGATTTTCTCTAGGCCATGAGCCAGAGGTCCAGATTTTGTTGGTTCATGTTTGGATCACAGGATCTGAGTTTCTGAATGATCCTATTCCTGTGTTTGTCTTGTAGTGCAAAGAAAGGAGGTACAGGCCCGAGCTGTGTTCTACCCCCTCTTAGGGTTGGGAGGAGCTGTGAACATGTGCTATCGAACCCTCTACATCGGGACAGGTAAGCCCGCCAGGAAGCCAGGAGAGTTACTGAATCTGTTCAGCCCTAAAACTGACTCCCTTACCCACAGAAGCTAGAAAGGGGTGAGGGAAGCCCTTTCCAGAGTTGACTGGTTTAACCAGGTGCTTGTCTTCCCTGGCTCAAGCCTTTTTGCTTTGTCTGTGCCCACTGTGGCATCAGCAGAGATGAAAGCCAGCTCTGACTACTGCTCAGGTGGGAATTTTAAACACTGCAGGGAAGAACCTGAGGAGAGGGCAAATGCTTTGTACCTGGAGGTCTTTGAAAAGTGATGGGCCCACATATACCAACCTTCACTTAGCCCTGTATCTGGTTTTTTGTTCTGTTTTTTTTCCCCAGTAGTCCTAGCGATAGCCCTATATCTGGTACAGAGGGACAGGCATTAGCCCTTAGAAATGTCCCTTTTTGGCCAGGCTCAATGGCTCAGCCTATAATCCCAGCACTTTGGGAAGCTGAAGTGAGTGGATTGCCTGAGCCCATGGGTTCAAGACCAGCCCCAGCAACTTGTCTCTACAATAAACTTTTTAAAAATTAGCTGGGCATGGTAGCATGCACCTGTAGTTTCGGCTACTTAGAAAGCTGAGGCGGAAAGATTGCCGAATCCCAGCGGTTCAACACTGGGGTGGCTGTGAGCGTGCCACTGCACTCCAGCCTGGGCAATGGAGTCAGACTCCGACTCAAAAAAAAAAAAAGTCCCATTTTCCCCTTTTTTCCAGTGATAAGCTTTATAGGCCCTGCACCCCATGTTGTATTCTCATGGGAATATTCATCCTCTTCAGTAACACACTGTTCCCTTCTGGGTAGGAGCCACATGTTCTAAAACAGATCAGCTGGCGGGGACAGCTGTTCTTCCACAGGGGGCTGGAAGAGATACCAGTTTTTGTTCACAGATACTAGGAGAGGGCCCTAAGCTACCCACCCCTTGAAGTCTCTGCTGGCACCCACCCAGAAACTAACTCCCTCCTTCCCTCACCTCCCCCACACATATACCTTACAATCTGTTCTCTGCCTGCCTTTTTCTCTACTCCTGCCACCTTGCAGGAGCTGACATGGATGTGTGCCTTACAAACTATGGTCACTGTAACTACGTGTCCGGGAAACACGCCTGCATATTCTACGATGAGGTGAGGGGTGGAGATGGTGTGGGAGGGAGCTTTTTCAACCTAAGGCCTCTCCCTGACACTGAATTTTGTTCAGTGCCTTGGCAGGGGGAAGGGACTGGGAGTTCTCCTTTTTTTCCCTCTGTGAGGGCATCCTGCCAGGGCTACCTAGTTCCCAGGAGCAGGGCTATCATTTCTCCTGAGGTTGGTCACAAGCACAACAGGGAAAGCTTACCCTAAAGCAGGGGAGAGCCCCAGCATAGAAAGAAGCCAAGCCCTGTGGGTGCGTTCCTGTGAGTTTCATTGTCATCAAGGGCCAATGCTTAGGGGGGCAAAGTAAAGGAGCAGCGGGAGAGCAAGGGATATGGAGGCATAGGAAGGAAGGCTTCCTGAGGAGGGGCGTCTCCAGCCCATTTCTGGAAGGACAAGAGCCATGACTGGGGAAGAAAGTGAGAGCTCCCTAGGTAGAGCAGCACAGCCTTCTCCATATGTCCTCTCTCCCCTTAGCCCCAGGCCCCACGCAGCAGACCACACATCTTATCTCCCCTCCTCCTCCTCAGAATACCAAACATTATGAGCTGTTAAACTACAGTGAGCATGGAACTACGGTGGACAATGTGCTGTATTCATGTGACTTCTCTGAGAAGACCCCGCCAACTCCCCCAAGCAGTATTGTTGCCAAAGTGCAGAGTGTCATCAGTAAGTTGGAGCAAAGGCCTGTGGCCACAAAGCTGAGGCCCCATTCAGGGTGGTTCTGACTTGCTGCCAATGACCTGTTGTCTCTTGCCTTCCCAGTCCTGTTGGCCATGCTCCTTGCTTGTGGGCCCAGGGAAGGCCATGGAAAAGCAAGTGCTGATCACCTATGTGGGGACTTCAGACTCAACCAACCCTTTCTCAGCATCCCTTATCCCTGGTCATGCAGCAGTTGGAATGGGAGAGGCAGGGGCCCAACTCTGGCACACAGCCCAGATGGGTTTGCTGCTCACTATTCTCTCCTTTTTTCCAGGGCGCCGCCGGCACCAGAAACAGGATGAAGAGCCAAGTGAGGAGGCAGCCATGATGAGTTCCCAGGCCCAGGGGCCGCAGCGGAGACCCTGCAATTGCAAAGCCAGCAGCTCAAGCTTGATTGGGGGCAGTGGGGCCGGCTGGGAGGGCACGGCCTTACTGCACCATGGCAGCTACATCAAGCTGGGCTGCCTGCAGTTTGTCTTCAGCATCACTGAGTTTGCGACCAAACAGCCCAAAGGCGATGCCAGCCTGCTACAAGATGGGGTCTTGGCCGAGAAGCTCTCTCTCAAGCCCCACCAGGGCCCTGTACTGCGCTCCAACTCCGTTCCCTAGAGCTGGTGACTACCGTGCCTCTGGCCTGTACACTCACTCAAGACTCCTGCAATGCAAAAATGTACACAAACCAAGCCCGGGTGTTTTCTATACTCTACCAGAAACCCTTCAACTACAATCTTTGCATGAAATGAAGAAAACCTTTTGACTGTTTTTTAAAAATCCTTTTTTCTTTTCTCAAGTTCTAGGGGGCATTTGCACATATATTTGTACTCAACATTTCATGGGAAAGCGGCAGACCCGAGCTGAGGAACAGCGTGGGCAGGGAGGGGAAGACCCAATGGTCTGGACACTTCCTCCAACACAAAACCCTTCCCCACCCACTTCCTGCTCCCTCCCCCTCGCCCGCCGTTGTAAAATAATCAGAAACTTGTTCTATTTTGTGGCAGTGACAATAGTTTTATATTAAAAGAAAAAATACAGTTTTCATACAGCAAAATCTATACAATATCATTGTTTTATTTAATATAAAAATCGCTACCCACCCTCCTTCCATGGTTCCCACCCTCCAAGTTATTCTCCCCTTCTGCAGCGGTTGCACTACAGGTAGCTACTGTGTATTATGGACAAATAAGAAATGAATTCTTTTTCTGGCTGTCCATCTATTTTATTTCAAATAAGGAAAAGTGTATTTGGATTTTGTGTAAATACATCTAGTGATGACATTTTTTCAATGTTTTTAAAAACCGTGTACAGTACTACATGTGGTAGAGCGTTTTCTCAAATTGTCTATTGTAGCAAAAATGTTTTTGTCGTAAACCTGTTTTGTCTCCTCTTTTTGTTCTCTTGCCACTTCTCTCCTCTTCCTCCTGCCCCTGGCTCCCTCCTCTCCTCCCACCCCCACAACTAGTACCAATGTACATAGTAATTGTAATGTTTTAGACTTTACAGAAACTTTCCTGTATTCTGTATATAAAAAACAAAAATACTTCAAATTATGTTTTCTGCCTGTCTGTCCTACCTGTCATCACCCCTTAGAAGGGACCCTCCCCTAGGTCCCGGTCCAACAGGTGGGGGATCCTTTGAGCAGGTCTCATTCCCAGATACTCAGTCCCCAAGGAAAGTTTGGGGGGGGGGTGTGCTGACAAAAGCCCTGAGCGAGTAGAGGGAGTCAAAGGGCAAGGGAGCATCTCCTGGGGCAGGGGCTGTTTCTCTGGAGAACCCTGACTAATAGGAGTCCAGTCACTAGACTCTGCTGTGCCACTTCTAGTTATGTCACTCAGTCACAACCTCTGTTCCTTACCAGAAGAGTCTACTGTAATGCCTTAACTCAAAAGCCCTGGGGAGAGCTGGGCTCAGTGGCTCAGCCTGTAATCCCGTGCTTTGGGAGGCTGAGGTGAGTGGATTGCCTGAGCCCGCGGGTTCGAGACCCACCTGGGCAACTTGGTGAGACCTCATCTCTACAATAAATCAAAAAATCAGCCGGGCATGGTAGCGTGTGTCTGTAATTCCGGCTACGCAGAAGGGTCGCCGAACCCCAGCAGGTCGAGGCTGCGGTGGCCGGGATCGGCCACTGCACTCCAGTCTGGGTGACAGAGTGAGACTCCAACTCAAAAAAAAAGAAACAAAACCCTGGGGAGCCTCATTAAACCAAACTCCATCCTTTCCTCCTCCCAGACCTTGGTGAGGAACTTTACCTGGGGAGTTTTCCTGAGGACAGCCTCCTATACTTTAGATAGCACCTCTGAGTTTATCCCAGCACTGTTCGAGTTGTTGTACCTGACTGCAGATCAGGATTTTGCCTTGGGGATAGAGAATGAACATTCCATTTTCAGCCTTATTCTGAAGCAAACACAATTAAATCCTGAATCCACAGTGCAGCTAACTGGGAAGCTTCCCCTGGAATCTGAGGTCTGAGTTTTGTGTCCACCGCTCTGCTCCCCTGCCCTGAGAGGCTTCATGAACTCTCTAAGGGCAGACACTTACTACTCTCCTGCTCAGTATTTCCAAGGGTATCAACATCACTAGGCACACCACAAGTGCCACATATCAGGTGCTAAATTGTACTGGATTTAGATAAGGTCCTAGCGAGGTCACCTAAACAGAAATGCCCTTTACCTATGCCTCTCTAGCTGTCCCAGACTATGATGGACTCGTCATCGTAGTCACTTCTTCCCTCCAGCGATGGAGCTTCTTTAACTGTTTCTACCACTGTCTCTTCCTGCTTCCTTTCAGAAATGGGGGCAGTGGAGCTGAGGCAGGGAGATACAGAATGAGTGAATCCTGACAACCCTTAACTGCCGGTGCCACCTTGAACAGTGTCTCCCCTGTATGGGGAAATCAAGGAGGAACCTGAGGAGCTGAAGGCAGGGTGTAAGGATAATCAAAGGATTTGTTCATTGAGAGAAAAAAAGGATCTAGGAACGGCCTCTAAGACACAAGAGAGTATTCATGTACACAAATGTCTCCAGAAGGGAGGGACTGGCTACAAAGTCATACCTAGAGTACACACACACGGAGATGTTCATTCAAGCACAGGTATTAGCAGAGACCACAGCTGCATGCACACACCTGGAGGAGCTCCCTGCCCGGATGTGCACAGACGCCGGCAAGGTGCTTACACAGACGCACACACAGGGCCCAGAGGCACGCACACAACTCGAAGTGTGGTCCTAGGGCCCCTGGCACATACGCACCTAGAGGCCGAGGACACACACGTTGCAGATGCACACCCACACCCAGGAGTTCACACCGGCACATACCTAGGGGGCGCTCCCGGGTCCCGCATACACACACACACGGCACCTCGAAGGTGTCCGCACAGGCCCACACCCGTGGACGCCGACGCAGGCCTAGAGGGCGCTCGCCGCGCCC